AACTTATCGTACTTACCACAAGCCAGCGTGGGCAACGGCTGGGCTTGTAGTGTAGCTTTTCTCTAGCCGACGTACCCAGGCGAGGGTGGGCGTGATGGAGTTGGGTCGGCCGGGGTGTCCGGTTGATCGGCTTCTAGATTCACCGCGGCACGAAAGGGGGGCTGCCCGTTGCCTGCTGGGGACGGGGGCGAACCTTAAGGTGTGGTGCGATCGGTTAGAGGGGGTTATGCGAAGGGTCCTGTCACGGCCTCTTTCCGGTATGTCGTGGTGGCATGTCGGCGCACGGAAACGTGTCGTGGGGCTGTGTCTTGTGGGTGTACAGTTGTACACCTCTGATCAGAGTAAAACTATTCGAATAGCCGTGCCCGCGGTTATGGGCGGTCGACCAGATTCACCGTGATTAGTCCCACCTTAATAAATCGACTCAATGCACTGAAGTTCAGGTGGGTTGGTTGGGCCTGTTCAACGTGGTGTAGCGTTGATCAGTGGAGATTTAATGTTACTTTAATTACTCAACAGCTTTACTGTTTTGCTCAATAAAATGTTTTACAACCGCCTTTATGCAAATAGCCACAAACCGTCATTGTATCCCTTTGCACGTCTGCATCATTGGTGTGGCTTGCTGAGTACGGTGGTTGTACTCAGCCTTGCTATTATTCCCCCTTTTCAGAAGTGTAGTGCTTCTGAGCTGAAGACGAAGTTAGAAGACCAAGGCTCAGACCCCAGTTGAGTTTTTCCTGTGGAGTGGAGCTGAAGTCTCGCTAGGATCGCCTTTTTCCGCTGCTGTCGTTCTGTTTCGGTGTGAGGACTAAGTGCCTCTTCTGTAAGTATTTTACGCTTTATTTACGTTTGGAACTGTATATTACTTGTCGTTTTGTGTACCCTGGCTGGTCCTGGACAGGGATTTAATACACAAAATAGTCTGGAAATTTGGGCTAAATTTCTGGGCGTGACAAAGAAGCAGGATGCAGATTGTTGTGTAACATGGCCAAGCTAAGCTAAATGTGGAGGAGCAAAGCATATGCTCTAGTCTCTCTATTGCTTGATGAGAAGTATAAAGCTGAAAAGATCGAAGATGTCCCCTTGTGATAATGAGAAACTTGAAAAAGGGATAGTGCGTGGCCTCGTGCTCGCTGCATGTGCACCGTGGAGCGGAGCCTCGCGGCGCCTGTTGTTGGTGCGCAAGGACGGGGACGAGGCGACCACGGCGGTGGAGGAGAAGAACGTGGCAGTCTTGTGCGCCCTAACCGGGCTGCGAGGTGGAGTGGTGTGTGTGATGTTATTATGCCTACTATGGATATAACTATTGTTCACATCATGGATCAACAAGAAGATATCAAGATAAGTCGTTCAAGTGTTGAAATCTGATCCGGCAACCTGCTACATTGTTTGTCTTCAAACTGCTGCCAAATATGCATACGAGCTTTGTTTTGGGTTCATCAATACTCGATGAAAAGCTCTTGGACTCCTCTTTCCAACAGTTCTAGTCTCATCTCCAAACTCCATCTTAGTCGGCCGCAATAAAAAAACAAGGAGTTGTGTTAATATAATGGGCATATGGGCTTGTAATTTTATCTGGGACCTAGGGTAAAGTAGGGTGCGCCCCAATCTAGTGGAGCATGATCCTAGGGACCCTTAGCTCATCCTCGCACCTCCATAAATAGCTAGGCACCCCTTCAGAGTTTCTTGGGTTTTGTGTAGATTAAAGTTTAGACATTGTTACTTTACCTTACAGTTACGTGTGCCGGCTAGACCATCAAAGTACTCGTCTCTGAAACCCCAACTTATCCTGGACTTTAATTCCTATTTGCAATTCAGGTTGCTTTTATCTTGTTCTTATTTGTTTCTTCGATTTTGCTTGCAAAAATAAGGTTGTTCTGTATCAGCCAGATCAACAACCCACGAAGAAGTGTATCGAAGCTAAGGCACAACACAACATCATCTCGTACGATTGTAGTCGGGTTGACAACTTCTCTCACAAATCATAGTTATCTCAATTCACCAAAAATCGGGTCAATCAAAGCCGTGAGCATAGCGAGTGGAGCTTAAGGAAGGTCGAGGCTCTTCAGAGGACAAGCAACGTGAGCGCGGGGGTGCCCTCTAAACACAACCACATGGAGGAGCAGGAGCGTGTTGCCCCTTACGGTGGCGACGGCTTCCAGGTCCACGAGGAGTGCCTTCACAAGCCAACTCTCGGCATCACCGGTGGCCGTGAGGTTGGGAAGAAGGTGGTGATTAGTTTGGTGGCAAGGTCTCCGCCTCTGGCGATGCCATCGTGTGCGTCGGTGGTGGGTTTGGCGATGACACTGGCCATCTAGTTTGTCTTGTCACATAGACAAAAGCGGCATACAATTAAGAATCCTTTTTCTCCCATTACTAGTAAGTAGAAACCTAAAAATAGTACTCCCTCCGTTTCACAATGTAAATCATTCTAGCATTTCTCACATTCATATTGATGTTAATGAATCTAGACATATATATCTATCTAGATTCATTAACATCAATATAAATGTAGGAAATGCTAGAATGACTTACATTGTGAAACGGGGGAAGTATTTGGATAATTGCCAAACGTAAAAGTGGTAAATAGTTAAATTTCCTACACACGCCGCTCAGGAAAGAGGATGGAGAAGAGATGAGATGGATGCTTGAGCTCGGTGTCACCGTCGCCGCAGCTCGGAAGGAGACGATGTCACAAACTCACAAATTCCTCGGTGTTATTTTTTAGCATTTTCATTTGGACTTGCGGGGAGCTCTTAGGGCAATAGCAATGCAAGGCATGCATAGAGTATCTTTAGCCCGGCTGAAGCTGTCAAATCGGCCCAAGGCCATCAACTCACACAGTACTTGTTACCTTTTTAGTGTGTCTCTAGTGTCCATTCCTGCTGTACTGAAGTGAGACGCAGCGTCTCCATGTGAAAGATCGAGGAACTCAGTAGGGGCGCGCAAGCAGTCGACACGTCGGCGCGAGTCCGAGGTAAGGCAACTCGCCACGTAATGCATTGCGAAGGGCCTTTGTGGGCTTGGGATTACAGTCACGTGCGGCCCATAGGCCTTAACTGACTGACAGCGATTCTCTTGCGGCCCATGTAATATGGCCCGAACAGGATCGCGACTGATTGCAGGCCAGACAGTCCAGCCCAGCCCAGGACACTTTACGGCTGTTTTCCGTGACGACAGCTGCATTTTGTCTCCATCCATGGCTACTCCATCCTGCCTAGCTTGAATGCTGGACCGATCAGGTGAGGGGAGGAACCAGTTGAAGGCCAGTGGCTTGGCGTTGGCGTTGGCATTGGCATTGGCATTGGCAACTACTGACTGCATCAACACTCTACCAAGAAACAGCTTTGCCATGGGCATGTTTGGTGCACCTATTTGGGTTGACGCCCATAGGGTGTTCGACGAAATGCCTCTGCGACAGGAGCCTTTGCGCGTCCAGATTCAGTGTATGGGATTCCGCCGGCAATCAAGTTATGTGTGTGCTAGATTGCTAATACTCTCTACTTGCATCAGCAACTGACTCTAGCTGTAGTTGTACAAAAATCTCAAACTGCAGAGTGGGGACTGCGCTTATTCTGGGAGAAGCAGCAGAACGGCCGGTGCACAGATACTGATGTGATCTGTGCCTGCAGCGATGTTCAGAGAACTAGACAGCTCCGATTAACAGCATTGCTTGGACAGAATCTTAGGTCAGCCCCTTTCTTTTCGTTTAAACACTTTAATCAACCAGAGGCCTGTGATTTTCTTTGTTTGGTCTATGCTCATTGTTAAAAGATATAAGGAGTTGGGTTGTCTTCAATCACACATATCGATTCAGGCAATGAGCCAATTTTGTGATCTCGACAGAATATGGTATTCAGGAAAATAGGAATAAAATTGTTCATTGCCACTGGATGGTGTTACAACTTACAACAACGTTTAGTTCTGGATATTTTGTTTTTTCTTCTGGGGTCCTTTATATGCAATTCTTTTTTTTTTGTGTGTGTGCTTTTAAAGCGTAGTACCTAATATACTTGCCATAAAAAATGATCTCTATCTTTTTAAAAAATAGTGGGCTGGCTGGTTCAGAAACAAAAACACATGAATTGTTTTAAGTAAAATTTTCAACTAAAAAGTTGTCTCGCTGCTAGCCTTACACTTAATTTAAGGATCTTATATTGTTAGGCACTGTTCTTGGTACAATTGCATAGCAATGATATCATTTAGGCATAATTACCATGAAAGGAGGTTTGACCATTAGGAAAACAAAATATTTCATTCATACATGTTTGCATCCACAAGTAACTGAAGCAACTCTGTCCTCTCTCTGAACATGCTGAGAGGAGAGAGAGAGAGAGTAAATATTAAAACATCTTAATAGCTAATAGTAGTGTTTTAATAAATAAGTAAGATAATCAAAGCTTCACCAGCCTTTCCATCTAGGATGTGCACAACCATTATTTTCGCTATCAATAGTGTACATGGAAGCAAGATAATTATTCTGTTGAAATACCACTGATCTGGTCAAATTTGAACTCTTGCACGTCACCCAAAATACTTTCAAGTAATCTTGTCACTTGGGGCATGTCAGGTTCTACTAGACCTTCTAGCACCTGAACCACGTCACCCATTGTCGGTCGATTAAAGTCTTCATCTTGAATGCACCAACATGCAACCTTGCAAGCTCTTTCAACCTCCTCCATGTTGATATCACCTTTTAATTGGTGATCGAGCAAACTCCGCACATCTCCCTTTAAAAGATTACGCGCAGCTTGCACAGGAAAATAAACAGTCTGATCACCACTGCTTTTACATTCATTGAGTGTGTTCCGTCTTCCTGATATGATTTCCAACAATACCATTCCATAACTATAGACATCAACCTTTTGTGTAATTGCTAATCCACTAATCCATTCAGGTGCAAGATACCCTATGGTTCCCCTCATTGTTGTTAGAACTCGACTGAAGTCCCTTGCTAGCAGTTTTGCCATTCCAAGTCTCACCTTAGGGACAACGACGCATCAGTAGTATGTTTTCTGGCTTAATATCACAGTGTATGATACAGTCATGGCAACTCTCATGCAAGTAGGACAATCCTTTACAACCCCTACGGCTATCTGGTACCTTGTACTCCAATTCAGAATTGTACCATTGCTGCAAAACAAATGAGCATCAATTGTACCATTGCTGCAAAACAAATGAGCATCAAGAGACCGATTTACCATATGTTCATAAACAAGCATCCTTCTATCACCTTCACAACAGAAGCCAATTAGTTTAACTAAGTTCACATGTTGGATCATCCCAATTGTACTGACCTCAGCCCTGAACTGTTTCTCCCCTTGGCGTGCACCATCAAGCATCTTCACTGCTATAGTAGTTGAGTTGCTCAGAATTCCTTTGAATACAGAACCAAAACCTCCTCCACCTAGCTTCTCGGAGAAATTTTTGGTTGCACACTGCAAATGAGCATACCTGAAAGCAACAATCCCAGCACCTTCTTTAATTTTATTAATTGGATAATCACGTGACCTCCTTTTGATCCAAATCATCAATAGCAGGAGGAAGGCTAAGAAACTGAAAGCAGAAACAGATGCACCAACAACAGCAGCTATTATTTTCTCTCTTCTATTATGTCCCCAACTTGGCAACTCTGCATCAGCAAGACGGAGGTAAAGAATCTCTTCATTTGTATTGCTAGTGCCATTATATTGCTTTACATTAATAAGTTGTTCATGCCATACTGAGCAACCACTTCTGCCGTAGGAATATGCGGTGCAAGAGCAGTTTCTCAGACAAACCTGCATGCATTCGTGTGCACTTGCAACAGTTTCCATACTGATACTTTGGGCATCATAGGGCAATCTAACACTAGGTACGGGAAAGAACTTATCAGTTAAACCTGTTGTGCTTTTGTTACTGCTGCAGCCCAGTGGAATATTTCTTGTGCAGCCTTCCCGTCTGTCATCAAGTTCCCAGTCCCTTGGTGACTTCACAGAGAAGCCCTTCATGCAGTTGCACAATGTAAGTGCATTATCGTTGCAGATTGTGTAAGGTCCACAAACAGAGGAAACATCGCATGAAGCCTTGGGTTTGATGAACACCGTTTCCCAATCTTGTAATTCTTCAACCCAGAGAAGCTGCTTTGTAAGGCCAGATACATCAATTAAGCAGATTGTAATTACTGTTTTATCAAATGGAGTGTAAGTAAAGTACTCCTCTTCATCGTTGTCAATGAATTGGGAGTCAAATAAAACATTGCTTGACATCTCCGGCACTGAGTTGAAGTATCTTCCGTTCCACTCCCCAGTGGAAAAGTACACAGTGGACGAGTTGCAAAGCTTATCATAGTATTGCCTAGAACCAGAGGGGTCTAACTCCATGCAATATAAGCCTAGAGCTGGGTCCTCGGAATTCTTCTTTGAAGTAAAACTATATTTCTGACCAGTAATCTTGTTCCGACCAATCTTCGCTTCAGGGAGGAAGACATCTGTTGGGTGATCAAAGCTCTGCCACCACACATTGGATGGGTTCGAGGCATCTCGTATGACAAGGTTTCCATTGTCTAACAGCACTACACTATTGTTCCTGCTGGTTTTTGGTCTATTCTCAATTTGGCTAGACCAAATCATTGACTTGGCCACCTTGTTTAAGATGACAAGAATGCCATCTCTTGAGACTCTGAGTTCTGACTGTTTAAAGATGGGGTCAGTTATTGGCTTATCTCTATTAGCAACCCACACAGTTGTGAACTTTGGGATATTGTTGAACCATATTCCTAGGTACCAGTTGGGCAAGGTGGTGTTGTCTGATGACTTACTGCTGCCTGTTTGGAAGAAGCTGAGCGCAAACTTGCCGTTGCTTGAGATGAGCTTGTTTCCACCGGTGAGCACTTGGCCTGCCATGAGAGTACTGCCATTATTTGTGGCAGAGCATGCAGGGAAATTGCACTGTAGGGAGAAGAGAAGCCCAAACAAGATCAAAACAGGAAGCATAGCAGCTGATGTTTGTGTCTGTGAGAGAGATAGAGATAACAATTGGTGTAATATAAAGGATTGATATATACAAGCTGTTGTGGTGGTGTTTCGGCATCTGGGATGAAGAACAACAAATATAGAGGGTCTCAGGGTGTGACTATTATAGAAGCATAGAACAAATAACACAATGGCAGCTTGCATGTGTTAAGTGGTTTGAATAACGGGCAGCGTGGACTATCTGGTTACTGGCATGATTCTTTTGCCGGTCAAGCTTTGTTCTGGACTCAATTCTCCCATTCAGTCATTCGGTCTTGATGCGGGAGGGAACCGATTTCTGGTCAGAATTACTCTATACATTTGTTTTCACTTGTTGTCTATGACATCAGTATAGTCTTCAATGCGGATGTTTGATCACTTGCTTTTTCTAATCATGTATTTATAAAAATTGATACAATGAAACTGCATCAAATTGTTGCTCATAATCCACTGATGACATTTCTAAATATCAAATCGTAATTTCTATTTTATATTGGATAGACAATACTTATTTATTATGCTCAGGTGCACAGAGAGGAGTAGAAGCATCTTGGTTATAGCGCATGACTTGATTGAGAGTTGTGCTGAAGTCAAAGACAAGCAACCTTTGTTCGTTGCTTCATCACTAGAGGTTCTAGAAAAGTTATTGGAGTACACTGTTTAGCATTTGATAAAGGGGTGCCTAAGATACCAAAAGGTAATACGATATTACTTAGTGGGTTTATTTCCATTGATGCAGAACAGAAGACTGAATGATGGAAAGCCCCTTCTGCTGACCGTTTGAAAATATATGTTCATGGCACATTTACTGGATATTTTGGAAATCCAATGATGCTTGGAAAAACAGGTCGGTTCTTGAGGCAATAACCAATGATGCTTGGATTGAAGACATCCACGGAGGGGTGACAATACAGCTGCTTCAGGAATATATATGCGTATAGGAAGTGCTCCACAACGCAGGAGAGGTGATCCATGAAGGGGCTGAGGACATAATCCTCTGGAGGTGGTCGGCCAGTGGCTTGTATACGGCAAAATCAGCATATGTCATGCGGTTCATGGGCAAAACGTTTTCAGATTCTGCTGAGCTTGTATGGGAAACTTGGGCACTGGGGAAACACAAATTCTTCGCGTGGCTGCTGGCACAAAATAGAATATGGACGGCAGATCGTTTGCAATGCAGGGGCTGGCCAAATAACTATTTCTGCCAACTCTGTTTTAGAAATCTCGAAACGGTACAGCACCTCTTCATGGAGTGCCCCTTCATGCAGCAGGTATGGCGGGACATTGGTCGCAAATTCAGACCGCAACGTTTCCTACATGTGACCACAGACAACACTCTCCTCAATTGGTGGCGCGAGCAAACAGATGAGGCAGAAAAGTTGCAATAGAAAGGGCTACGTTCAACAGTCTTGACCACGCTTTGGGAGATTTGGATGGAAAGGAACAATCGCATCTTCAGAGGGAAAGAATCTACACCATTGGCACTTGCTAGCAAGATCATAGATGAGCTTCGTTTGTGGGAAATGGCAGGTGCCAAGGGAGTGAAGTGTATTATGTTAAGAGATTAGGCTTTTGTTTTTCTTAGGGAGTGCAGGCAGGAATAATTCCTCCGGGAACGTCTCCCCTGCCTTCTGTTCTGTACAGTTTCTCTCTCTTCTTCTATAATATAAAACCAGCTTGCTGAGTTCTTTCAAAAAAAAATTTTTGGAAATCCAGACGTTTAAATTTTCTGCTCCTTTCCTGAAGCGTCTGTCTGGAGGTACCAAATTTTTTTGGCACGTCAAAGCCTCACAAGGACGTTCAGGAGGTATAATGATGGGCATCAACTTGGCCATTTTTTGATATGTATACACACACACAGGCTCCATGGATGAAGTGGTTTATTATGTCGAATTTCATTCGAGAAACAAGGAAAATTTTACAATGGGTTCTCGTCGTTGTATGGAGCTGCCCAATCTCAATTTAAAGAGGTAATTTTATCGGAGCTAGCCCCATAAGTGCAGTAGAGAATCATTATCAATTATTGTGTTTGTGGGTTGGAATTTTAACATATTTCATTCACTTGGATGAGAAAAATATGGAAATATTATAGCAATCTGGACTTGAGAGAGAAATTGACCTCTCACGGAGAAAAGTTTTCTTTGGCAAACAACTTGGAATAACCAACTTTTGAAAAACTTTTTTTAGGACATTTTAAAAAAACTCAAAAGTTGGAGTATAGACTGGGAGCTAAAATTTCCATCAACCATTTAACCTCAGCAAATGCATTGGATAGGAGCCTTTCAGACCAGACCCCTTTACTACTTCATAACGGTGCTACCTGTCATGTGGGGCGCCACTACCACCGCAGGAGCAGGTCGGAGGCACAGTTGCAGCAAGCAGCATGAGTCAAGGGTGCAAACTTAGAACGAATCATGCAAGGAAAGTATTAATTAGGAGGAAATAAATGTCATTTCCTTGTATTAGAGGCCAAGTGCCTATGAGGCATGTAATCAGCAACTTTTGAAGACAAGCAATTTGAGATCAAAATTCCTAATCTCCCTCCTTCCCTAACCTCCCTCTGTTCACCATTGAGCGTGCAGGGAAGAACCAGCCACCGCTCCTGATCCTAGCTACAAACTCCGTAGCCACGGTCCGGCTATCCTCGGCGTCAACGCACTTGACACTACCTCACATCCAACAAACCTTCCTATGTTCAGATTTGAATTTGGATGGCTGGGGAGGGATGTTTTTTTTTTAAATGGTGGCAAAGTAATGGATTAGCATGCCAAGAACACCAATGGAGCGTTGGAGCAACAAAATTTGCCACCTCCGGCAACTTTTACATGGCTGGGCTAGGCAGACAAGTGGAACATACAAAAAAGAAGACTTCAATTTTAAAGTGCTTGATGAGCTTGATAAGAAAGCGGAGCGGTTTTTGCTCTCTGTAATAGAAGTGGAATCCCTGAAACAAGCAAAAGCAGGCTTGGTTAAACTGTACTGATTTTTAAGTGCAGTTTTCACTGTCCGCAATAGAAGTGAAGTTTCTGAACACTACAATAAATATACCTTGTAGAGACATTTTCCTAATACTATAAAGACATTTTTAAAATACCTTTACAGTGTTATGGTGACATTTTGAAAAGTGTCGCATAAGTGCCTTTTGGTGAATTGTCTCTACGAACTAAGAGGCATTTTATAAAATCTCTCTATGCAAATAGAGGCACTTTGTAAAGGCATTAAATTGTGCAGCAACTATAGCAAATCAATATGAAAAAAAAGAAAAATATTATCCTTTACCAATCCTTGAAACTCATGACGTCTTGGGTTGACCATTTTTATCTTCAATGCACTAACCATCTCAACCTCATATAATTACATATAAATATGTGATTCGTGTTACTTATATCTAGTTACTTAAGAAAATGCCTTTACATATTAGGCAAATTTTAAAGTGCCAAAAAGATGTCTCTACAAGATAAATTTAACAAAGTATGTTAAAATTGTCTCTAAAGTGTATCTAGAGTAAAAATATTTTAGGCGATTTTGAAAGTGCCTCTAAAAATTGTCTCTAGACTATAGAGCTTCAAAATTTAGAGGCAATTTGAAAATTGCCTCTACAAAAGAGCCTCTACATAATGTTTTTATTGTAGTGGAACGAGGAGCTTTGTTGGTACTAACAAAACAAAAATGACCTGTTTGTAGAAGATAGTACTATCACCTCATTGCAAATGGGAAGCATAGAAAACATTGTATTCTCCAGCTAAGACAAAGTGATGGTGTAATTAATGATGAAGGATAACTTTGGACATATATTACCAACTATTATGGAGACATTTTTGGCCCTCCCAAACAAAGATATTTTAAAATTTGATTCCAACATTATGGAGAGCCCTAGCCCCAACACCCACCACCGGCGACTGCGACCCCCACCGTCGCCGCCACCTATCGAGAGCCCTCCAGCAAACCTCTCGTTCCCAACGCTTGAAGTCTTCCAACCGACCTCTCCGACGCGACCGCCCGCTGACGCAACACTCTCTTTCCGCCATGGTAAGCAAGCCATCTCGTTCCCTAAGTCACCAGATCTGAGTTCACACACTCTCTCTCGGCTTGCAGTAAGGTCCAAGCAGCCGGGTTCCTTGTGTGCGAAGAGTTTCAAGGCGGCGTTGATCTCTTCTCCCTCTGATACTCTTAATGTCACGGATGGGAGCTCTCGTCCAGTTTTGTCAAACTCAAGTACTGCCCTTGCCGTGCGTGAACACTTGAGTGTTAACTGCCTGCTTGGGAATCCGGAGAAGAGTAGAGCCCCGGTGCACGCAAGATTAAATTGGCCCTGCAAGGTGCTGAGCGGCACATCCTCTCAGATGTAATGCATCGGGAACGGTTCTTAAGAGCGGTAGGTTCCTTTCAAATCCATCGCATCCTCCAGCTACAGCAACAAATCACTCCGGTTCAGAGCATTGGAGGGAAGTAAAGGCTAAATATTGGTGGAGAAAACAGCAATCCTGCATTCAAAACAAGGAGGAGGTCGAGCAAAGGAGAGCTCGGTTTCTTAAACACATGGAGGGGAAATGCTTCAGATGCCTTCAAACAGATCACAAAGTTGCTTCTTGCAGGAACCCTCTTAGATGTTGGTCTTGTAGAAAGATTGGACATGAAGCCCTTAATTGCCCGACTAGGGGAGAAGGCCATAAATCCCGAGCTACCCACCCGCCTATTTTACCCAGCCCGGTAGACTTCCCACCACTCGTTACAAGCGCTTCCATAAGCCTCAAGCCCACAGCGCCTTCCTCCTCAACGATGTCGGCCATGGACGAGCTGTTGGCTCATCGCCAGGAGTCCACGGTCATCATCATGTCCTCCATGGGGGAAATCGAGCGCAACAGGCTGCACTATGCAGCGTGCTCCCTGGTTGCTTGGCCAGTGCATGGGAAGCCGGTGGAGGAGGGGGTCTTTGCCGATGACCTCCGCTGTGCTTGCCGGATCCATCGGCGGGATGTGCAAGTCACTCACTATCATCCGAAACATTTCTTCGTCACCTTCTCGCGCGTGGTCGTCCTCACTTCACCAAGGCTAGACTGCCCTTCGAGGAGGTCCTACCATCTCCGTGCGTGGGATGACCGTCGCGAGGGCCACCACATCTTCTATCGCTACCGGGCGAAGCTTTGCATTGAGGGCATCCCCATGCATGCCCGGACTGATGCGGCAGCAGAGAACCTGATTGGCCCAAAGTGTGCTGTGCACTACATCGAGGAGTACTCAAGGGGGGGCAACTACAACCGCACGCATGATCTCAGGGTTTATACCAATGACCTAGGCTTATCCCCAAAATGGCTTGGTTCGGGTTGCCTAACCCGAACATGGAGCTAGTCCCCCCGAACATGCCACTGCCAGAGATTGACCCACTCCACAATCCACCGCCGTCATGTGTGGGCACAGCGGCTCCGCTTGCGGCAGTGTAGGTGGCACCACGAATGCACCATCAGAGGAAAGCAACTGGGGAGGAAGAGGAGACAGGAGGGCTACTTGATTCTTATCGTGTGGCAGCCAAGGATCGGCACCATAGCGGTGTCATGGACAATGACGGGCAGCAAGGTACATGTTGGTGTAGGTCGACTCGCTTTCGTCCAGCGCTCCCAGCTGCGGCGTTGGCTGCAAGGCATGCTTATGGATCGTCCTAGGTTCATGGTTTGTCCATGGTGCTTGTCGGCTCCTCTTCCAATTCCAGGCTCGGCCAAAATCCGACTCTTGCGCTGCCCCGCGAGAGGTAGAATGGGGCACTGGGAATGAGGGTGACCAAAGGGGTAGCAAGTGGAGGAGCGTGGGACAAGAAACTGAAGAAAAGAAGCTCAGGCAGCCAGCTCTAGCTTTCATAGGCGGCAGGCGGTCGTTCTTGCCGTGAAGGGCCAAGGGGCGATCTTGAGTTGGTCACACGGAGGCTGTCACCACCATTAAGGCGGTGTCCTTGCCCTCCCCTAATCCCTCTATGATGTGCGGTTTTGGGGCGTGGAAGACTAGGGATAAAGCTGGTCATAGGATGGGCGAAAGGCATCGGTGCTGCGTGTGGCAGCGACGGAGGGCTGGCTTGATGGCAGGGCCACGGTCACTGTGCGTGGCTGGAGTAGCTGACACGGGTGGCAAGCGAGTGGGCATCAGTTTGCTGAAAAGGGGCAAGGGGGGAGAGAGTGATGTGGTGTATTGGGACGACGTGGTGCTCCCATCATTGTCGCTATGCAGTAGTGTCGTGAAGGCCGGGACTGATAATGCAACACTCAGGAGGGTAGGTGAGCGCAGGTGCATGGTGCTGTGGACAATGACAGCTTGGGCAATGTGGCTCCCGCGGCTAGGATTTGAGCTTCAGCACGGCAAACTCCAGCGAAGGCAGCGCACAACGGTTAGCACGGAGCTCGTCAATGACCTTGACGGCCACAGGAGTACTCTGGACTGCCAGATAGGCAACGAGCAGAGGAAATGTTGGACAGGCTCTATCGAGGCCAGTGGGGAAATGTGTCACGCCCAGAAATTCACTAGTAATTTCCGAACTTATTTGTGCATAAAATCCTCGTCCAGGAATCAGCCGAGGTACACAAACTGACAATTTAATATACAGAATCATCAATAATAGTGTTACATACTTTCAAAAGAAAAGAAAACTGCAGCGGAATTACGGTCTAGCGAAGCTCCGGCTCCACTCCCACAGGCAGCTCAACTGGGGTATAAGCCAAACGTCTTCTCCTTCTGGATCCTTTTTCTTCAACTGAGGTTGATTGATTATTGCAAGAATGAGCATATGACATACTCAACAAGCCACACAGCAAATATGCAAGTGCACAAGGATACCAAAGGATGGCATAATATAGGCTCATTTGCAAAAGCAGCATTTAGCAAAACATTTAAGAGGAGTAAAACAGTGGAGTAATTAATCAGAAATTTTAATCAACACTGAACAGCACACCCATGCTGCACAGGCCCAACCATCCTGAACAACCATACCCGGCTGTACAGATCTAACTCCAAACCAGGAGCTAAGCAAATTATTACCAGATATAACATCCATAATTATTGTGAGAGGTGTGAGACTAATCACGAAAAACATTGCTCAACCCGCCCATAACCGCGGGCACGGCTATTCGAATAGTTTTACTCTGGCCAGAGGTGTACCACTGTACCCACAAGACACAGCCTCCTCATCATGTCTACCATGCGTCGCGATACTGGAAAGTACCCGAATAGAGGCTGTGACAATACCCTTTGCACAACACAACTCACCACAGTGCACCATTCCTGGATCATAATCACCCCCTCTATAAATATAACCAGAGGCATGGACTCCCCAGCGACCCCCACGGACTTCTCGCCGCTTCTCAGTCTGGTGCCCCGCAATGAATCATGCTATACAGAAGGTAAAGCCGTTGCCCATGCTGGCTTGTGGTTGGTACGGTTAATGTTTCACAACAGTAGCTCGTGAACCGGTCCTTAATTGTCATGAGCACGACCTTCAAAACCATGTGCTCACAACCCACCATTGTCAAGTTTTAGTTATCAATTAATTATCATAACACGATTAACCATCGTGAGCTACGATTAAACCATCATTAAACAATGAGTCATAAGTTATCCCAATAGTGTGCTAATGTTTCTAAGCATGGCTAAGCAATCATATCTAATATCTAGCTGAACCAATATATAAAGCTCAACTAGTCAAGTTATAATAACCCAAGGTATCAAGGAATAAAGTAATCAATGCAAATTGGCCATAACAAAGGAATAGGTTCACACCACCCGGTGACATTCGAAAATAAATGCACAGTTGAAATAAATAGAGAATTTAAATATAGGATCAACATGCTCAAAGGATTGTGTTTAGGATCTGTGTGACTTGCCTTGCAATAATCGGTCTTCAATTAATCTTCTTGAATACTTCCGGTGCACTCACGAACCTTCGCAACGACGGAAACGACAAACTAACACGCAAAACGAAGAAAAAGACTAATAAAAACCAAATAAACAGTACATATAAAGTAAACAAACATGTAGATCCTGATTTTAGATGAATTTAGCAACTTGAACCACTCAAAACCGAGTTACGATGATTTAGTTATGAATTTCCGAAGATTTAATCTATTAGAAAAACAGGAAAAAGAAAAAAACGATGATGACGTCATGATGATGACCTCATCAATGGCCGAACCAAGATGGCGACCTCGCCGGAGATTGGATGGTCGGCTGCGACTTTGGAGGACAAGAACACGTAGAGGACGACGAGACGAACCCAACGGTACCCACCCTCGAACCAAACGACGAACGACGACGGCCGGCGACGAGGTCTAGCGGCGGCGCGGCTTCGGTCGACGGCGGCGACGGGGCTGCGGTGGTCGGCGGCTTCGGGGAGATAGCGGCCGGGCTTCTCCACCCTCCCGCGCACCTAACGGTGGTGACGGCGACCGGCGGCGACGGCGGAGGCGGCGGCGCGACGCGGATGGAGCTCGGCCGGCGACTACGGCGGGGTGGAGCACGTGGCGGCGGCGCTACGAGGCACGGGAGACCACGGGAGAGGGGGCAAACGAAAGAGGAGGACTAGGGGGTCCTATTTATAGCCTTGGATTGAAGAGATCGGACTCCTTCCGCAAGAAATCGATCCGGGAAATCAAAAACTCGGTTTTGGAGATAAACTCGAAAACGAGTTCGATTCGGATAAGATACTCAACGATTAGCTCCGATTTTTGGGGATAAAGATAGAGGAGGATAAGAGGAATATTTCCCCTCAACTAATTTTAGAAAAACACAAGGGGAAAGGTCAGATTTGGAGGAGAAAAACCGAGCCAAATCGGTCTCAGTTCGGCTGCTAGAGGTAGAAGATAAACAGTGTCGAGGGAGGCAAATTAGACTTTTCGTCTTGGGCTGGCTGAAAACAAAGCAAAGAAAGAAAGAGAAGGGGGAAGCTCGGCTGGGCCGACTTGGGCTGCACGGCCGTGCAGACAAAAGAGGGAGATGGGCTGGAAAGGGCCCAAGACTAGGAAGAGGATTATTATTACTTTTCCAATTAAATTAATCAATGAAATGATCTTTGAATTGTTAAAAATACTTCCTATGCTCAAATAATTCCAAGAAAAATCTTGAACATACTTGGACACCCAAAGTATTTAACAATATTAAAAACAGACCATTTAATGATTAATTTAATATGTGGGTAATTACTGAAATGCTCTTTGTATGATTAAAAATTAAGAATTGAGCTCCGAAACATCTGAGAAAATTTCAGAGAGTGTAATTAATCATGGAGAATTTAATCAAAATTAAATCCATCCATGCTTTATATTTAGGAAATTTTATTTCCCACATTTAACTTCACTTGTAAATTAATGAACATTTAATATAAATTCTAATAATAATTTATTAAATAATTTATAAATCCTGAAACAAAAATCAGGATGTGACAAAATGGCCCCGGTTGAAGGCCGCCTCAGTTCGGTAGCTTGCTAGGCCAGCTCGGCAGCAGTTGGGCTGGAAGCTGGTGTATTGGCAACTATTAACGACCAAATTTGGCAATATCAGTATTAGAGATGAAGATTGGATCGAAGTGAAATCGAAGATGAAGATCGTTTCGGAAACAGAGTAAGAATCGACTGGAGTCCAAATCGGCTACGACCAAGATCGGCTGAGTCCGAGTCAGACTGGGTGAGCTGATATAGCCGATTCCGACAATACGACTCGGTATACGTCATCGGGTTGAGTTGATATGCTTCAAGATGATTGCCATGCATGGATAGAGTCCTGAGAAGGCAATTGTATCTATTAATTAGGATATTTTATGTAATTTCCTCAGAGATATATTTGGGCAAAAGTCTGCCGCAAAGACTTATGGTATTTTAGAGTTTGTTAGGGATAAGAGTCGTGTCTGATATGGACATATTTTGTAATTCTCGGGTATAAATAGACCCCTAACCCCATGTAATCAAATTAACACACGTTCAATACAATCTCGGCGCATCGCCACCCTTTTTGCTTTCGTTTTGTTTCGACGAGTTCTTACTTTCGGGTTGAGCTGCATCGGTTTCGATCTTCAACAAGAGGTAAAACTTATTATGGCGGCTTGCGTTCTCGGGATTAGTGCTATCATCTTTATGATACTCTAATTTTGTTTATGTAATTCGTCGAGTTATCATATATCTTATATAATCTCCGGCAATATCGACATCTAACCTATAATCGGCTAACATCTGTCAGTAGAAGGCAGCCGATTAGGATAGATAGCGACGTTGGCTTAGATTATATATGATATCCACCACTCTATGAAACTTCCAACGGCTTGATTGTCTAGATATTGCCCTTCTTTTCATACTTATAGCTGCATCAGTTGAGTTTGATCTTATGAGTCATGATTAGAATCTCAATCTCTAGCCTGCTTCTTAGTTGCCGATTAGGGTAGTATCGGGGTTTCAGCCGATCTTACCTGATTTAACTGTATTTACCTTATATGCTTTGTTGATATGTTAAATCTGCCCTTTATGTTAAGATCTTGTTGCATTTAAGTATATAAGGCTTTTGTTTGATATATTCTACTCGCTTTGATATCTTAGTATAGGGTGGTATCGGAGTATTAGCCGATACATGCTAGATCTATCTGATCGGCTATGCTACGAATATATATATAATCTCATTATTAATATATATTTCGATCTAAGTGATTTATATTGTCTCGGCATGGCGACCGATCTATCCCAATCGCTTGATTTAAGTATATATCGATATAAGGATTATATATCGTTAATATCTACAGCCGATCGAGTAGATTTAGTTCTGTCTTATTTATTAATGCCTGCCGATCGGCTTAAAGATAAATGATATGTCATCGGCACCTAGCCGATCGGCTATCGTTTATGGATTTAACCGCGGTTTCTTTGTCTTTATTCTTGTTGATTGCAGGATCAAATCAACTGGCATGCTAGCATACCCGAAGGCGAGTTTTGGACCTGCACTGGAGTTAAGCAGATCTCCCAGGCCTCGTGTTTTCACATCAACAACAACTTGGTAGGTGGAAATTTCTAATCTTCCACTGAGTCACTGACTCCCAGGAGATCAACCTCTTAGTTGGTATTAACTTGGCCTTCTCAAGAACAATCAAATATACCTTCCATAGCATCGAGGATTCCCAGCCCTGTGAAATGGAGATGGCACATTTCCCTGATTCTGCTGGACCGTTGTTGTCCACATCGCTCACGTCGCCTTCACTAGCTTCTTTGGTGCATGTTGGTTGCAAAGATTGGTGGCTAGGACCTTTTAGGCTAATTGGCAATGCGGGTGCAAGGAGGAAGATGAATAATTGTCGCAAGCTTTGCCAAGAAGGAATGAAACGGAACGTTTATTTTTTATCCACTACCATGCAGAACCTATGAATAATTGTCGCAAGCTTTGCCAAGGAGGAATGAAACGGAACGTTTATGTTTTATCCACTACCATGCGGAACCTAGAGCAGAACACAGTGAAAAAGAATATCGAGCACCCTTCCCAAATATCCACAATTATTGCGAGAGAGAAACGGTACAACCATGAAAGTTGAGGCATCACATGTGAAAAAACCATTTTATAACCTCTATTCACAATATCAAGCAAAAGTACTCCGACACTTGGGTGAAGAATTTGGCATCTAACATGACTCACCTGTCGTGAG